AAAAAAAAAAAAAAAAAAAATGGATTTGTGCGTTATATGTTGGCCGTGGCACGTTCTGTTACATGAAGGTCCTGGCATTGCTCCGTGTCTGCTCAGACTGATCTAATTCTCTTTGGTGGGTACACAGCATTGCCTTGTGTGACTCTGCCGTCACTTAACCTGTTTCCTGTTCATGGATGTATTGGTTGTGCATCATATTTTTTCTTTTTCATTTGGGTGTAGGGGGTGGAGTCCAGCTCTGTCACCAGGCTGGAGTGCAGTGGCTCAACCTCAGATCTCTGCAACCTGCACTTCCTGAGTTCAAGCGATTCTCCTGCCTCAGCCTCCTGAGTAGCTGGGACTACAGACACATGCCGCTGGGCCTGGCTAATTGTAGTTTTAGTAGAGACAGGGTTTCACTATGTTAGCCAGGATGGACTTGATCTCCTGACCTTGTGATCCACCTGCCTCAGCCTCCCAAAGTGCTGAGATTATAGGTGTGAGTCACTGTGCCTGGCCTTTTTTTTTTTTTTTTTGAGACAGGGCCTCACTCTGTCACCCAGGCTGGAGTGCAGGGACATGATCACAGCCCTCTGTGTCACTGCAGCCTTGACCTGCCATGCTCAAGTGATACCGCCTCGGCATCCTGAGTAGCTGGGATTACAGGCATATGCCACCATGCCTGCTAATTTTCAAGCTTTTGGTAAAGGCAGGGTCTCCCTATGTTTCCCGGGTCTCAAACTCCTGGGCTCAAGCAGTCTTCCCACCTCAGCCTTCCCAAGTGCTGGGAGTACAGGTATGGGCCACCAGGCACCCAGCTAGGTGCATGTCTTTGAACATCACTGCAAATGTCCATTGGCCCTTGGTCCGTCTGAGTTGTCTGTCTACTGGCTTATTTTTTTTAGGTTGACTGACTTGAAAGGGATAGGGAGCCAGAAGAAAGATAATTTGGACGGCCGGGCACGGTAGCTCAAGCCTGTAATCCCAGCACTTTGGGAGGCCGAGGCGGGTGGATCACGAGGTCAAGAGATCGAGACCATCCTGGTCATCATGGTGAAACCTCGTCTCTACTAAAACTACAAAAAATTAGCTGGGCATGGTGGCGCGTGCCTGTAATCCCAGCTACTCAGGATGCTGAGGCAGGAGAATTGCCTGAACCCGGGAGGCGGAGGTTGCGGTGAGCCGAGATTGCGCCATTGCACTCCAGCCTGGGTAACAAGAGCGAAACTCCATCTCA